GGTAGAGAAGAGGCGTGTTGGTGCCGTGCGCATCCCTTCAGCCATCACTTGGGGCTTGTCTCTTGGGACGCATGGATTTAGTACTATATTTGCTGTGTTATCTACCTCTCTTTTATTAAGAGAAGTGTTGAAGGATTGTCTTGTGTTATTAGTATAGATAAACGCTGGGAAACATCTCCAAAATTTACAAATCTCATCATGTTTTTTAAAAGACGAAAAGAAATCACTTCGCGCCCGCAGATCTACCTCTGGGCGGCCGCAGCGGTGCTTGCGGGCGTCCGGGCGGAGGCATGGGCAGCTTCCGCCAACCCCTGCACGCCCTGCAACTCGACAATCACCGTAGACGAGGAGGATCTGCCCAAAATCGGCTTCTTGTGCCCCGAAGGATTCCCAGGGCAGAGGATCCGATACCCTTACACGTGCCTGGTGTTCTTCAACCTCTCGTCGTTCCACAACCTCACGATCCATGTTCACGAGTTCTACACGAGGGACATGTCCGTAAGTCAAAAGCTGAATGCCTGCTGTTGTAATTCATGTTTTTTTAAATTCTAATTCGCACAACGGCATCTTATAGTATCTTACTCATAATTAATACGATCAATACTACTGCTATATTTGCTGTAGTGATAAATGCCAACAACCCGACCAAAAACGTAGGTCCCGTCAATGACAGAAAATGACATGTACACGAAGAAACCAAACACCCTCGTCTGCCAAACCACCGCGCTGCAATCACGCAATAACCTTTAAGTAACCCCCCCCCTCCCCCCCCGGCAAACTATCATCCAGATAAGGACTCGATCAAAGCTCTTATCTTGCCATTTTTAGAGGCTTTCCGCGGTTTTTTTTTATTTATTCATTATTTGTTTCGTTACCGTTCGTATCTGCAGATGACCTTGGTTACTTAATGGTAATAATATTAATAATAATGATAATAATATTTAATAATGATAAATAACATTAATAATAATGATAATAATAACATTAATAATAATGATAATAATAATATTAATAATAATAATAATAACATAATAATAATTGATAATAATAACATTAATAATAATGATAATAATACATTAATAATAATGATAATAATAACATTAATAATAATGATAATAAATTAATTAATGATAATAATAACATTAATATAATGATAATAATAAGATAAATAATAATAATTTAATATAATGATAATAATAAATTAATATAATGATATATAATAATATTAATGATAATGATAATAATAATAAATAATATAATAATATTAATAATAATGATAATAACAGCAATACTATTGATATCATTATTATCATCAGTTTCATTGTTATTATTATTGCTATTATAATCATCGTCATCATCATTGTCACTACCACTGTTACTGGCGGTCTGCTGTTTTTTGTAGTTGTTATTATTACCATTATCATTGTTACTGGCGTTCTTTTATTGTTCTTATCATCATTATCATCAATCATGTTATTATAGTAATAATAATAATAATCATATTATTATTATTACAAAGATAATGATTATAATTCTAATTACCATAATAATAAGTATTATTGCCATTATCATTATTATTGCTATTATCATTATGATTGTTATTATCATTATGATTGCTATTATCATTATTATTATTATCATGTTATCATTGCTGTTATCACTATTTGTTATTGTTTCTTCTTCTTATTGCTGTTTATCTTATTTCTTAGCGTCATCATCGGAGAGTCATACAAAGCACGGTAATCAGTACTACAGTCTTATCACTGTCATCATCACCACCTCTATCGTCATCTTCATCATCATCATCATCATCATCATCATCATCATCATCATCATCATCATCATCATTCATCATCTTCATCTCTCTTGTCTTATTTTTCTTCCTCTACCTCTTTCTTCTATTTTCCATTTCTCCATTTTCTTCTTTTTTTTCATCTGCCTCTTTCTTCTATTCTTTGCCTTCCCTTTTTCTTCTTTTCTTTATCTTCCACTTTCTTCTATTCTTCCTCTTTCTTTTCTTTATCTTCCTCTTTCTTCTTTTCTTTATCTTCCTCTTTCTTCTATTCTTGATCTTCCTCTTCTATTTTTTAACTTTCTTTTCTATTCTTCAACTTCCTCTTCTATTCTTTATCTTCCTCTTTCCTCTTTTGTCTATCTTCCTCTTTCTTCCTGATTCTATTATTTCTATTCTTCATCTTTTTTCCTATTCTTCCTCTTTCTTCTATTATTCATCTTCAATTTTTTCAATTCTTTTTTCTCCCATTTTTCAATTCTTTCTCTTCCCTTTCTTCTATTCGCCCTCTTCCCCTTTCTTCTATTCTTCATCATCTTTCGTCTGTCTTCTATTCCTCTTTTTCTATTTCTCTCTTCTTCTCTTTCTATTTTTCTATTCTTCATCTTCCTCCTATTCTCTCTCTTCCTCCACCTTTCTTTATTCATCCTCTCTCTTCCTCTTTCTTCCATTCTCCTCTTTCCTCTTTCTTTTATTCTTCATCTTCCTCTTTCTTCTATTCCTCATCATCCTTTTCTTTTATTCTTACTCTTTCTTCTATTCTTCTTTTCCTCTCATTTTCCTCTTTCTATTTCAGTTCATCTTCTCTCCCTCTGCCATGCTCTTTCTCTCTCCTTTTTCCTCTATCGCATCCTCCCATCTTCATCTATCTATTCCAGTTTATCCTCTTACCCTCTTCTTTCCCCTTCCTCTTCATCCTCCCCCTTTTCCTCTTTCATTTCCTCCCCTTTCCTCTATCTGTTCCTGGTCATCACCTTCCCCCTTCTCCTTCTCTTCCTATTCCTCCCCCCTCCCTCTATCTGTTCCTGGTCATCACCTTCCCCCTTCTCCTTCTCTCTCCTCTTCCTCTTCCTATTCCTCCTCCCTCTATCTGTTCCTGGTCATCACCTTCCCCCTTCTCCTTCTCTCTCCTCTTCCTCTTCCTATTCCTCCCCCCTCCCTCTATCTGTTCCTGGTCATCACCTTCCCCCTTCTCCTTCTTTCTCCTCCTCCTCCTCCTCTTCCTATTCCTCATCGTCATTGTTACTCTCGCTTTTTTGGCGAAAATGATTAAACTCCAGATCAAAGGTATACAAATTTCTCTAATATTATCTTAGAACATTATTGACTCATCTTGAAGCCTTCATATTAAAGATCATTAATTGGCTATTATTACAAGTCCATCCATTGTTTTGATAGGATTAATTATCATTATATTCCAGCTATTATTATTGACTATTATTGACTGTTCTTGAAGCCCTCATTTTAAAGATCATTAATTGGCTATTATTACAAGTCCATACATTGTTTTGATAGGATTAATTATCATTATATTCCAGCGAGTACTGGATATTCCTCGTTTTTTTTGAACCTTTAGAACCATTTTAGAACCATTTTTGAATCTTTTGAACCTTTTGAAAGTGAGTCGGATACCGTTTCGACTCGCCGCGGAACCGAACCCGAGGCAGGCAGGAACCAAGATGGAGGAACGCTTTTGTTTATCGTTTGACTAATCATTATTATTATTGTTATTGTTATTGTTATTGTTATTGTTATTGTTATTATTATTATTATTATTATTATTATTATTATTATTATTATCTTAATTGTCATCATTAGTGTCAGCATTATTGTCATTATTATTGTGATGATGATCTTCATCTTCATCAATCATCATCATCATCATCATCATCATCATCATCATCATCATCATCATCATCATCATCATCATCATCATCATCATGGGCGAAGTCAAAATAGAAGGCACCGACTCTGAGAAAAAAAAAATTAGGAGGATAGCGTCGTGACCAATAAAAAAAAAATTACATTCACCGCGATCAGAATTCATCATCAGATGGAAACCGAATCGAGGAAAACGACGAAAATGTGTGTATGTGTGTGCGTGTGTGTGTGTGTATGTGTATGTGTATGTATGTGTATGTATGTATGTGTGTATGTGTGTGTGTGTGTGTGTGTGTGTGTGTGTGTGTGTGTGTGTGTGTGTGTGTGTGTGTGTGTGTGTGTGTGTGTGTGTGTGTGTGTGTGTGTGTGTGTGTGCGTGTGTGTTATTCGCGCCGCAGATGGTGCGAATAACGCTGGCTTCATTTCGAATTGGCGCCAAATTCAATAGTCACTGTTTCGGGAAATATAAATGTCCAATCGGACTCTCTGAATGCCAAATATTTGTCATTTACAATGACCATACAATCGGTTCTCGAGACCTTTAATGGTCCGAGAAAGTCCAGGTTCACAAACGCGAGAAAATCCTATATTTCAGTAGAAATATATTTATTTATTATGTATTTCAGTAGCAATAAATCAGCCATGATTGCCGATTCTTCATTTTCAGACTCGTGACAATTCTCTTGCCTGGGTGATTTTACCCCTCTAGCCTCAGTCTATTTGAACGATGGGAATTTACGGTTTTTGTAAAGGCTGGAAATCAGTCTGAAGCAAATATTGATATAGATAGATATATCGATAGGTAGAAAGGTATATAAAGAGACAGATATTAAACATGCGTATATGTTTAAATTGTATAGTATGTATGTATGTATGTGTATATATATATTTATATATACATACATACATATATATATATATATATATATATATATATATATATATATATATATATATATATACATATATACATACATGTGTTTTTGTATTTAAGCATGTGTGTATAGGCCTACATAGCATGCACGACCAATCATCCGTAATTGTTTATTAAATGTTTTACTTTTTCAAACTTTTTCAGGAATATAGACGTTATGTTCACTTTAATTCACGCTCTCTACTGATTGCAGCACCTTAACATTGAACATGTTATTGAAGCTTATGTTTTAGACGGAAGTTCACATGAACAAGACCGTTAATAGACGTAATTTCGGCCATTTGGTCTGAGAATTACCTTGGACACTCATACTCATATGTTTGCCTTGCGTGCATATTGGAATGAGTCAGTAATATGAGGTAATTATTGTAATGCCTGAAATCTGCAGTGATATATCAAAACTACTTGAAAAGCTTTCAGATGTAAGGAATGAAAGTCTTAGATGTATTTGTTATTTACGTCACGTCGGAAAATAGGAACCTTATGCTACGTTTTAACTTGGAAAATACTTTTGATATCATGTTCGCGTTCAGATTATATACTAAATTATCATTTTTGCGGGATTTGGTAAAGGATAGGTCCTGTAATATCAATAATCTCAGCGCTTGTGGGATTTCGTTTGTCGAGTGGACTTGGAGCAGAGAGAAATTTTACATTTTATGATCATGTGTGGGATGGACCGATTCGGTATGACGTCACGAGACAGGGTTCCCTCTCATACAGTAATTAAAATTTACTTTATTATCGTGAGCGAAAATGTATGAATACTTCGATATGTTAAACGTGGAGAGAAAAGGCCTTATTGATGTGAAACTATAAACTGTGCAGCGAAAAGTGTCCATATCATCTACTTGCCCAAATCTGGATTGGCGATTCTTCGAAGTGTCCAAA